AAATGATATCTCAGATTTGTTTTAATGTGCATAGCTGTGTGTTTTGCAGTGAGATATATGATATTTGTTTCATCCTCACTGGGCCCAGGCTTTGGATTATTCAAGAGTCCTCTCAGTTGCAGAGATCTGAACATCCTATTGTGGAAACACTATTTTTGGGACCTTAGAGCCACTGAGCATATCAGCAAGGAGGCAGCTCCCAATCCTTGGTGCTCTAGAGACTTCATCTCCTGCTCAGGTAGCCTGTGGGAGCCCTAGGTGTTCTTTGAATCCAGTTAGATGACAAACCAAGATCTCTAGGATGGAGCTATTTCAAAGGTAGGGCAGCCACCAGAGGAGGCTAACAGGGACAGGATGATAAGGAAGAAGATTAGCTAACCTGAGTGAGTGTCTATGAGCATATATACCAGGGGCAACAAGAACATAGGTCAGCAATAGTAAACCAGCAAGAATAGGATCAAAGACCAGAGATTACTGGATTGATCATCTCTTGGTTGCCTTAGCCGAGTCTAGCACTAGCCCCACCCCCTCATTCAATTTAATGAGTTTAATGAGCTAGCTCAGATACCAGTAGATAGAGTGGTTAATGACGCTTATCCTTGGCCAACATCCTGTCACCATGACCTCTTTGCTTCCCTTCCTCTGTATCCCTTTAACCTTCACAACTGAGAACACTTAACTCCTACTGGTTCAACCCTACTCCAGTCTCTAGGATCAATTTTAGTCCTAGAAAGAAAGAATTTAAGGGCCAGTAACTCAGTGCATCAGTGTATAGTCAGGCTTGTTGGCAGATAAATCAATAAACATTAATCAGTTAATCAATAAACATTTACTAAGTGCCTCCTACGTACTAATTACTGTGTTAAGTGCTGGGGATGCAAAAAGGGGCAAAAGAAGGTCTCTATCCTTAAGGAGCTCACAATCTAATTAAAGAATAATAATAAATAGTAATTAATAATAATAAACAATAATAATAATAGGTCCTGCTATAACCCTGGATTTTGGTTCCAGTTGTTGGGAATAAGTGACTCATCCAGGGTCACCCAACTAGTAAGAATCTGAAGCAGCATTTGAACTGAGGTTTTCTTGATTCCAGGCCCAGCATTCTATCCACTGCACCACCTAACTGCCTCTAAGTCCATAGACTTTCCTGGATGTTCCCTTTAGGATGGACTCTTACAGTGATACCCTATGTGATCCCAACACAGAGAAGTGCCAGGTAGGGCTAGAAGAACACCTTAGCTGACATGTCAGCCAATGAACTAATCAACAAATATGTATTAAGTACCTACTATGTGCAAGGTACTATCCTAGGCAGTGGGAGATACAAAGACAGAAATGAGCCAGTCTTTGCTCTCAAGGAATTTACATTCTGCTGGGGGAGCCAACATGCATAACATGTAAGTATATGAAGAAAAAAATAGGAAATCAGTACAAGGTAGATGAGGAGGCAGGACACTAGCAGTTGGGGGGAATCAAGGAGAAAGTGGTGCTTTAGTTTTATCTTGAAGGAAGTAAGAGATTCTCTGAAGTGGCAGTGAGGACAGAGAGTACATTCCAGGCAGGAGGTCAGCCAGGGTGAAGGCACAGACATGGAGATAGGGTGCCATGTGCAAGGAACAGAGAGAAGACCAGCCAACCAGGGACACAGTTGCATAATAAGTAATGGATATATGAAGCATGGAATCCATCTGGTCATTGGGGTTTCTGGAAAGCATAAAGTAAAAACAATTGACTTATTCCCACTGAGTAAGCCCCTACCTTTTACCCTAGTTTCAGTAATGAAGTCCCGATTTTGGTTTCTCACGCCTGAGTTGCTGCTCATATATTTATGTTATCTATCTCAACCGGCGCCTCACTGCAGATAGACTCTTCCTTAATTGACTCTCTACAGAATTCCCTACAATAGCCGTTCTAAACTTTTTCTTCTTTTCTTAAGCCACCTCTACAAGAGTAAGGAAACAGGGGCTAAAATCTCAGCTCTTGTACTGATTAGCTGTGTGTCCATGATCAAGTGACCTCTCTGAGTCTGTTTCTTCTGCAGTAATAGATGGTTCATGAAATCTTAAAAGCAAAAAAGAACCTAAAAGGTCATCTGACCTCTCAGGCTTCCTGAAGTCCCAACCAAAATCTCACCTTTATAGGAAGCCTTTCCCAACTCTCTTTATTTCACTGCCTTCCCTCTTTTAATTATTTTCTGCTTTTTGTAGGAAATTTTGGATGACCTCTTTTTGTATCCCTAGCACTTAGCACAGTGCCTGGCACATAGTAAGTGCTTAACAAATGTTTGTTAATTGATTGATCTAATCTGACCCTCACCTGAATAAGAATGCCATACCAAACAATAGGTTATCAAGCCTTTCCTTGAAGACCTATATTGAGGGGAAGGCATGGCTCTTA